TATTTATGTTAGATGGTCCAATGTTTTATGTCTTTGTCTTGAAAATAAATCAAAATATTGGAGAATTCAATAGAATGACATAAGTTCCTTTATTGAGAAAAACTGAACCTTGTATCGTTCTATTTGTAAATACGAATACAAGCAGTCACGTCTCATTCGTGTCTCAATAAATAATAAATGAAACTTGTTTACATTATAATATGTACATGAAATGTACAAAGTTTAAGTAATATATTTATTAACTTAATCGACGCATATGAGTAAGATGACTTGTGCTTTCACCATTTCGATAATATAAAAGCTATGTCATTTCAACCGTTCTTTATGATATTGTCAACCTTTCTATGTTACATACATTATGGACTCCGTTATTAGAGGTTATTTAATTGAAAATGATTAAATATAGATAAAAACTTCTGAAAGGTACAAGCGTCGTTACTGGACATGAAAACGACACATGTGCTGTTACATGTGTAAACATGACTATAAGTAGTTATGATTCATACGTGTCCCTAAAAAATAATAAGTTGTACTTATTTATGTTGTGATATGCACATGACATGTACAAAAGTTGATAAATATGCTCATTAATTTAATCAACACATATGAGTAGGACAACTTATAATTTCACCATCTCGATAATATAAAAACTATGTTATTTCAATATTTCTTTGTGACATGGTCAATTTTTCTATGTTATTTATGTTAGTAGTTTATTATTAGAGATTGTTTCGTTGAAAATAATCAAATCATAGTAGAGAAACGACTATAGTGCCATTTTATGCAGCGAAAAATGACTGGAGTGACGTTTTACATTTTGGATAACAGTTGGAGTGTCATTATCATCCAATAGTTGTAGAAAATGTAAAAAAAACATACTAAGTATAAAAACAACACAAACTTAAATATTATTCAATAATAAATGTACAATTTATATAAGATTTCTAAAATTATCTCTCTTTTTTCTTCAAATCAAATGTGATATTTCAATATAGATGATAAATGTTCAAAGGATATCCAAATAGGTAAAGAATATAATGAAGAATAGGATTTTAGAGTAGTAAGAATGGTTGAAGAGAAAAAATCGGGTTACTGTGATTTTGGGGACCAATAATTGAATTGGAGAATTTAATTGGATTGATAAGGGTGTTAGGGTCTTTTCCAATAATGAGGGTATTTATGACATTTGACATTATTTGTTTATTGTGCTTAATAGTTGAAGACCATTTGTTCAAAAAACATTGAAAAGATGTTATATAACCAATAACATTGTTTGATTAGGCTCTTTAACAAATTCCACCCTTTTGAATAGTAGGTTGATGGAGAATGTGTAGTTAAAAATTAAAGAAAAATTTTGAATTTGCGTTTAATATTATTTTATTAAAGAATGTATAATTGAAAATGAGTTTTGAAAAAAATGAATTTTTAGAAGAATGTGAATCAAACAAGGCATAGAAACAGTGCCACGTGGAGTGACTCTTTTATTGTGCGAGAATTGGGGGGGTGAACTAATAGAATAGTGACACGTGGGCTACGATGTTAAGATGGTTAAATTGGTGCAAGAATAACAAAATGAATTTATTCCTTAGTTTTCCAAAAAGTTATTTATAGATTTTGGTGAGGATTAATAATCTTCTTAATCCATAAAGAGATTAGAGCTTTCTCTCAGTTACTTTTAATTTTGTAAAGCCGATTTTTGTAAAATATTCTCAAGTTAGTACAATTTTAGGGTTCATACTTTAGCATGTAGATTAGGTGATTATGAATTGCAGCAACTTTTTATACATAATTAGACTCGAGAAATTTTGCTTCTTCACAACTCTTGGTATATTTTAAGTCAGCCTTTCTAGCTCATGTCATTGATTTAGCTAATTGCATCTTTACATCCAAACACGAGCTCACTTATTATTGATATTCAACTGTGAACTTTTGATCTAGAGCTCAATGCGCAATTAAATTTTGTCAAAAATTCTTATCTCAACATCAAGTACAAGAACCATGTCACATTTGTACGGGGGTACAAGTACTATCATATATGATAGTCAATACAACGTTAGCTATCTTGTTATAAGTAGTTTTAAATACTTCGCGAACAATCCCATTAAGCAAGCAAAAATTAAAACGTGAAGATTTGAAGAGTAGGTGAATATTAACTTCACTAACTTTTTTTATGCATGGTTGGACCCCATAAATTTTGTTTGTTCATGAATTTTTGTACATTTTAAGTCAACATTTCTAACTCACGACGTTTATTTATCTAATCACATCTTCACATCCAAACACGAGCTCATAATTATTGATATTCGAATGTGAACTTTTGATCTAGAATTCAATGCCCAATTGATTTTTGCAAAATTTATTATTCCAACATAACGAGGTTAAAATTCTTCATAGGTATAAATACTATTGCATAGGATGGTGTATAATGTTCGCTATCTTGTCACAAGTATTCTAAATGCTTTGCCAACAAACCGTCCAGGTATACATAAATAGAGTAATGATATTTAGTATCACTGGTGTCAAGCATCAGTCTAATTAACTACATGACATTAAATGATAAATTCAATTAAATGCAATATCACATAATTTATTTAATTGAACATATCAAATGCGATAACCTAAACTTGTGCTCTATTATTATTGGTATAGCATTATTATAAATTTAAATCCAAACTAATAGAATATGACACGTGGGCTATGAGGTTACCATGGTTAAATTGGTTACCGTATTTCCAAAAAGTTCTTTAAAGATTCTGTGGTGATTAAAATTCTTCATAATCTATAGGGCGATTAGTGGGCTTTCTTTTATTTATTTCTTTATTTTAAATTTTGTAAAGCGGATTCGTGTATAACATTTTCAAATTAAAATAGTTTTAGAGTTCATACTTGAGCATGCAGCGCATGTGATTATAAATTGCACAAACTTTTACGCATGATTGGACTCGAGAAATATGGGTCTGTTTTTTTTCGTGTTTTAGCTTTGTAGTTTCGAGTTTCGAATTCATTTTGAGTTTTGTGTTTTGAGGACCTGTTTTGAAATTGTTGAAAATGCGTTCTTTTTGTTATCCTGTAAAATTGTTTCTCAAAACATAAAAATAGAAAATGTGTTTGTTTTGAAATTTTGAGAATATTTTTTTCATGCTATTTTATTCAAGAAATCACCACAATGCCACCAACAACACCACTAGGTCCACTACAAAGCTGCCACCACTAGCTTGAATCCATTGCCAGTCAAGATCAACACAACCATCGATTGCCACCACCACCACTATAAACCATCACCATGAACTATCAACCAAAATCAACCACTGCCACTGCCAAAATCAACCAAATCACCATCAATTCAACCACCATGAACCATCCATTCATCAATTCATCCACTGTAGAAAAAGAGAAGAAAGAAGAACTTGCCATCAATTCATCCACTGTAGAAAAAGAGAAGAAAGAAGAACATGCCATGAACCATCAATTCGGGGAGAAATGCAGAAAACAGAGAAGAAAGAAGAACATATCACCACCACCATAAATTCAACTACAATGAACCATCAATTCATCCATCGCACCACATCACCATTGTTGACTGCCACCACCACCATCAAACGTACTACTACAAAATCAACCAAAATCAATACCACCCCTACCACAACAGACAGACCACTACCGCCTGTCGCCACCACTAACACCCATCGCGACGTTGCGTTCATAGCAGTATCGCCTCCCTACTCCGACCTCGGCATCGACACATCTCCTTCATTGCCGGTTGCCGTGTTTGAGAGAGAAGCCGACATCGAGAGAGAAGGAAGAGACGACTAGTTGGGAAGAGAGAAAGGAGACCAAAGAGAGACAGGCTTGAATGAGTTTCTCTTTCCCGTTTCCTGGGTTTTCAAAAAAATTTGGGTTTTGTACAGAAAACATCCAAAACGTCCAAATTGATGTTTTGCGTTTTCTTTACAATTTTTTTTTTCATTTTCGAAAATTCGGTTTTCGAAAACGGAAAAGAGAGCGCGTTTTCACTATTTTGAAAAAAATAGAAAACACCTTGAGAACAACAAAAAGAACAGGGCCTTAGCTTGTCTACTTATTTTATTTTATTTGTATATTTTAACTTAGTGATTAGTCTTTCTAGCTCATGTCATTGATGTAGCTAATCACATCTTCACATCCAAATTAGGGACGTTAATTTGGCTCGGCCCGAAAAAACCCAAGTTAGCTCGCGAGCTTAAATAAAAAAAAAAAAAAAAAACCAGAAAGGTATCTTAAAAAAAGAAAAAAGCGAGCCTAATTTTTTTGGCCGAACTTGGGCCCTGAAAAAAGCTCTCACATTTTACTTGAGTTTCGGCTCCCAAGCCGATTCGACTCGACTTGTTGAAATCCCTAATCCAAACACATTGATGTTCACATGTATCTAATTAAATATGACATGAAATTAACAAATCAAAAGAAAATAAACATGAAATTCCGTTAAAAGTTGGACGACCACTACTATTAATTTATTAATTAATAGATAAATGTGTCAAGAAATTTACAAGGTCCAGCATGAATATTATTACATATTATGCTAACACAATTAAACTTCCATTTTTTATGGTCACCTACCACAAGGTCCAGCATGAATATCAGTACATATCACGTTGCACAAAGTGATAGGTCATCTAGAGTCTCTAGGTATTTTTTAATTTTTTTTTTAAATTGTTTGGTATTGACCAAAAAGATTATTCTCTTTTTCTTTTTCAAATTCCACGGAGATGGATTATTTACTAAAGTGAAGAGAATTTTTTATAAATATAAATAGAAAATTGGACTAGTCCAAAAACTAAAGATAAATTAACATATATTGTTTTTCATGTACTCTTTGCACAACCTTATATCTAGTTACTCGATCGGTCTTTTATAGTTGGAAAAAATGTCAACATGGATGGATATCACATATCTCTAAATAATAGGACATGAAATTAACAAATTAAAAGAAAATAAAGTTCACCAACCAACATGAAATTCCATTGAAAGTTGAACAATCACCACTATTCATTTTAACCCTTCCTTATAAATTGACAAACTTGTCAAAGAAAATTACAAAGCTTCTTATTGTAGTAACAGGTATAGGACCCTCTATATAATGAAGGAAAATAATCACAATTTCTGCACCAATAAATTAACTCCATGGCCAGGCTCAATAACTAAATTGAGTGCTGGTGAATGAATGTATTTAGGGGACAAAGTGAATGAAAATTTAGACAAAATTAGAGATATAAGTATTTTGAGTTCAACCAAGGCTAAATTCTGGCCTAGACACACCCTTGGTCCAACCCCAAATGGCATGTACAAGTGTGGAAATTTGCAAGCTCCAGTAATTCCATTTGCAAACCTTTCTGGATTGAACTGGTAGGAATCAGGTCCCCAATTATCTGGATCAGTGTGTAATGTTGTCACTATTGTCCATAGATTAACACCCTTGGGGATGTTAAGGTCTCCGAATTTCATGTCGGTTAAGGCCTCCCTCGATACAACAGCCACAGGAGGGTAGAGGCGTAAGGACTCGTTGATTGCCATGGTTAACTGCAAGATTGAATGGATTGGAGTGTTAGAAAAAATTGCAGAGGAGGAGTTGGGGTCGTCCTTCTTGGACTACCCTACCATAAAGACTCATTCGTATGAATTTAGCCCATTTCAGGTTAGGTCCACGACTTAATCACGTGTTGGACCACAAAATTCCTTATGTACCCATAAAGTCAAAATTATCATACCCGGACCTAGTGGCTAACCAAACAAATCATTAGATCGGTAGTTCAACTAGTGGATCACTGGTTCAACCACCAAATCATTGCAAAGTGGAATTTCGGTTAAAATATATATAAAACAAAGAGACAATATATCTATTATCTATTACTTTGCTAAAAGTCTAAAACTGAACATATATAATTTTGTTATAAGCTTTCCATAATCCTTAAGGGGCCATGTGGTCGAATCTTTCCCATTGCAAATGTAATATGAAATTTTGCTTTGAACCAATTTGATAAGTTTGGACTGAACTGGATCAAGATTTCTCTTGACCCATCCGGTTCCGATGGTTATGGACCGGTTGTCGAGATTCTCGACTAGTTTATATGCTAACGAAGCAATTAATACAAATCGGACCAAACCACTGTCCGGTTCGGAGGTTCCTGGACAGTCGTTCTGGTCCTATTTTAATAATTATGCATGAAGTTGTGGGGGCTGCTCGGCTAAAGAGACTCAATTTTTGGAATTAATTAGAACCACCTGCTGTTGAGGGATAGATAATCCAGTCACAGTTCGATTCAATATGTATTAAAGTTCGATTCAATATATATATATATATATATATATATATATATATATATTTTCACATTTTCCCATAATTTTTCCTACACATTCTAAAAAAAAAAAATAAAAAATCAGGTTTTAAAAAATCTCTTCCACACAAGCATATGTACCTATGAAGCTATGGGAGTCCTCGTGGAATGCGGAACGGAAAGATTGAGCCCTAGAATAGGGATGACAATCGGGCAAGGTTGCGAGGATTTAAGAGGATTGGGTGACAACCACCCAATTTAATTGCTTATTTATTTCTTAACTTTATTACTTTATTTTTAAGACATGGTCACAATTCAAAATGTAAAATTAAAGTGATTTTTAACCTCTTATTCACAAAAAAAAAGAAAAAAAGAAAAAAAGAAAAAATCACTTCCACACAATAAAAATAGGATACAGACGGGGCTACGATATTGTGTCATCACTAACTTGGAACTTTCAACAACTACAAACTTAGGGATGGTGACTTAGTCATATGTGCTCAACTTCACAATTTATGTATAAGATTGACTTGTAATATTTACTAAAGTGAATGTTGGACTACTTCATCAAAAAATTTAAACTTAAACCCAACGAAAACATTTACTTATC